TATGTATGTACATATGTACATGTGTATGTAATGTTGCATAACAAGCCAATTAATTCAATTATTTCTTTTCTTTTGTTTTTTTTTAACTCCGTGAAATGAACTGATTTTATGAATTTATGCATTTATTTGTAATTTTTTATGGAATCGGCATCGGCATCGGCATCGGCCGATTCTTTCCCCATAAGCCGATTAATCGGCATCGGCATCGGTACCTGAAAAAAAAATTGGAATCGGTCGGACTCTATACATATGTATTTTATGAGTTCAAAATTTTTTTTCACAGCAAAATGTTTATTTTTTCCCTCAAAAATCGGGGCATTTTGCATCCCAAAATTTGTTGTATCGGGATGGGAACATAGCTCTTAAATCCGGGACAATCCCGCCGAAAACGGGACGGTTGGCAACCGTGGTACCAATAGATCGCAGGACATCCTCTATAGCAGTACCTGAAAAAATAACAACGGCAAAACGTGGCCATTCTCCTCTGCAGTGACGCCTGAACTTTTTGGACCAACCGTCTAAATTGGCTAAAAGAAACCGGCTAAAAAAGGCTAAACTGTTTCAACCAATATTCACATGTTTCATTTAAATAAATCACAAGTAGAAAGACTATTTCTTGGAGAGAAGTTGCAAATTCAAGCTGGAAAAAATTTTCCACCAAGAATCTGCAATTTGGAAAAACATATGATTGCGGCACATTTGGATTTTTTGTCGACGATAATTTGAATAAACAAGTTCGTTAAATTTACAAATTTACAATCTTGAGCGATTTTAAAATGAAAAATGTATCTAAGTAAGTACTTGTTTACTTAATTAATTTAGTTAATTCCAATGATTTGAAAGGTACTCGGCTGAAAAAAACTGTATCCGTAATCAGAATTCAATCTCAACCAGAGTCGATATAGTAAACGTGACAAAAAAAATTTTGTTTGAAATGCAACCGTGGACACTAGCCGACAGAAAAACTTGCAAATTCCTTACCATTCCATTCCATTTTTTCTTGCTATCTGATATTTTGAGTGATAATTCTCGCTGGGTTTTCGACGAACAAACCTATTATCTTCCCTACAAGAAAAGGACTTTTCACACTGGCCGATTCTCAATATACTCAAATAAAAACTAATACACATAAAAAACGCTGTAAAAATTTCTTTTCAATATTAAGGCAGTAAAACAAAGACCTTAAGTTAACATCAACCGAGGCCAAATATTGACAAGGGATGCAAAATCACATTTACGCAAAAGAACTGGTTAGATTTTGCAGAAATCCCTTCAATTCTGATGTAAGATATGATGCCAAAAGGCTGCAGATCTCCGATTCAGATGACCGGCAGATGTCTTGTAGGGTTTTCCAGAGAGATTTGCTTAACATAGAAGTTTGTGCTCTTTTATTTTTATTTTGACGCATTTCAGTGTTGGTTATTTAAATTCAAGTTCGCCTTCGGTTTTTGGAATTTAATTAGGTTCTAAGCAAAAAATGTTGTCTAAAAAAAATACATATTTGCACATAGTTCTTGAAAATATCCTTTTCTCCCTTACCTTAAACTTTTAGGAGTGGGCAACAATGATGTTTTGTAATTAAGGCAGAATTGAATATGCGCTATCTGGGAAGACAATATCTACCTGTAATATTTATTCTGTGTGTTGGCACTATATCCAAACACAAAGGCGTGTTAAGCAAACAGTGAAGCAATTAGTTATTTTCAAAGTTTGCGAATAAAACTTCACGCTTAAATTTAAGACATTCATAACAAACATTTTATGAAGAAAATCCCCGCTGCGGCCTTCTTTAGAAAAAATATATTCGCTTAAAATAAAAACAAGCGAAATCGGTCCAATTTTATATAACCCTGCCTGACATGAAAATTTTCTCCGCGATAAGGCTAGTAGCCATTTCTAACAGATTTTGGGTCGCTTAGTCAAAAATGGAAACATAATATTTGAATTTCAAGAAAATAAGGCAAATAGCAAAATCATATAAAAACGGCAAATTTTTTTTTACAAAACGGCTAACAAATTGGCTGCCGTCTAAACCGAAATTTCTCCAGCTGTTTTCTATCGCAAACGTCTAAATCCAGCCGGAAAACGGCTAATATGGCAACACTGCTCCTCTGGTATTTGCGTGTGCGATAACGATTCATGAGTCCCAAAGAGGTCATTTGGTGAGACCGTATACGCTCAACAGCTCTTGTACGTCGCATTATCATGAGTATCATCGATTCAAGGGCTACACCTCGTTTAAAAAAAAAATATATAGAAAATTGTATCATGGTCGGAGAGCAACAGAATTCACAATTGAGTTGCAAGCTGAATTTCAAAGGCTACATCTGAATCGACTTGAAACAATTGAAAACGTATTATATGCATGGAACGGATTTTTAGAACCTGAAAACCTATTAAAAGGGCAAAATAAAATCACGAAACAGGCTAGAAAAAGCAAAATAAAATAGCGGAATAGGGAGGAAAAGGCTCTAGAAATCGCAAAAAAGGCAAAAAAAAGGCGCTAAACAGACAAAAACTGAACAATAATAAAAAAAAAAAAAGTTTTAGTAATGATTATTTTACAAGTAAAAAGAGAAAAAAAAAACTGTGAACTAGTTTCATTACACCGTGCGACGAAAACCAAAAATTAAAAAAAAAAACACGAAAAAATCAATATACAGTGAAACCTCCCTTGGGCGGACACTCACCGTCAGTCATTTGTTGTTCGCCCAAGAGAGGTGTCCGCTTAATGGAGGGGAAGCCTGTTTTAGAACTTTTTAATGTTTTAATTAATTGAATAGTCACTATTTCTTATTTGAATAAGAGATATTGATATTACATCGTTCAAACAAAAATGTGCATGTATGTTTTCAAAAATGCACATTTCATTTATGTGCGTACATATTAAGTAATAACAAAATAAAAATAAATTTTACATTTTAGTCCATAAACTACATAAAACCATAGATTCATTACATAAAAAACTGGGAAATTGTCGATTGACGTAAGTTTTATTTTTAATTTTTTTCAGTGTCAGTACCTTTTTCATCAACAGTTTTCATGTTTTTATCAGTCTCCAAGGGTTTCTGACAATTCAAATAACGAACCTAAACCACTGCGCAAACCAAACTAAATGTGTGCATAACAATCACATTTTGTGCGGGAAGTCCCCTTTTTCCATTTAGTAGTCCGCCTATGAGGAGGTCGCGTCCGCTCAACGGAGGTTTTTGTTTGATTTGTTATGAAAAGAAATCTTAATGTCCGTTGATAAGAGGTTCGCGTCCGCCCAATAGAGTTTTTGTGTCAATTTTATGCAAAATAACTGTCCGCATCCGGCCAAGAGAGTGTCCGCTTAAGAGAGAGTAATTTGTTCCGAAATTTATACTTAAAACTTGGTATAGGAAAAAATGTCCGCCCAAGGGAGATGCCCGTCTAATAGAGGTGTCCGTTAGGAGAGGTTTCACTGTATTCACAAAATTATGCGCCAAATACAGTATAACTGCATTTTTAATTTTTCTTTCTGATGCCAGGGGGTTTTTTTAAAGACTTTGAAATTTCTAGGATATGATTGTATAAAAAAAAATTATTCAAAAGATTTCGTGCATTGTAGAGTAACAACATGGGTATCAGTCAAAAGCAAAAATTCTGTAGAATTGAAAAAAAAAATACTTTTTTGGTGCACCAGGACGAATAAGTGTTGAAAATGTCCTTTCAAAACTTTGTCCTTGAATATCTTTAGAAATTTCCAATATATATTTTTGAAAAAAAATATATGTCAATGACTAACATGTAAACTACCACATCCTCGAATTTCGTCCTAATTTTTTTATTCAATCATATTCTAGAATTTTCAAAGTCCTTTTAAAAAAATCCTGACGTCAGAGAGAAAAACTAAAAACGCAGTTTTACTATATTTGGCCCCCAGTTTTATAAATATTTTCATTTTTTCGTGTGTGAAATTGACTGTCGCACGGTGTTATATGAAATACTTGTACTTTGAATCTTTGGCTATTTTCCCCTTTCCAGTTTTTAATTCACCAAACTTTAATCTCTATAGTTGTGGTAACATTGAACCACAAGATGCATTTTGAAGTTTTCCGGCAGCATTTTTATTCGATTTCCGCGAAGAAAAGCCTTGAATGTACTAAACGCGTGCTCGTCGTGGGATGATACGAGTGGGCCCATTTTATATAAGGGACGTTTTAAACCTTCATATTATCAGGAATAAGGGCTTTTTTCCAACTTTGAGCCACTGGTACGATAAGGAGTGTCAGGATGCTGCAGAGAAAAAAGATGCTGCCTACAGGGCCACGCTGCGATCGGGCGCAACGCGCGCTATGTAGGACCGCTATAGGGATCTGAAGAGGAAAGCGAGACGTATTTGGTTCAATAAGAAGAGAGAGGCCGAAATACGTGAGTGCGAAGAGCTTGAAATGCTGGCCAACAGGAAGAATGCCCGAAAATTTTACCAGAGAGTAAGGCGACTTACGGAAGGTTTCAAGACCAGGGCGTATTCCTGTAAGACAACAATGGCGACCTAGTTACCGATGTTCAGAACGTACTTTAATTATGGAGGGAACACTTTTCCACGATACTGAATGGTAGCAGCACGGATAGTTGTGGAGAAGAATAACCCCAGTCGATGATGACGGAGTCGATGTTCCTCAGCCTGACCTTGACGAGGTACGAATAGCAATAACGCGGCTGAAAAACAACAAAGCTGCTGGAGCTGACAGCCTGCCAGCTGAGCTATTCAAGTACGGTGGCGAGGAGTTGATAAGGTGCATGCATCAACTCTTAGGCAGAATATGGTCGGATGAACGCATGCCCGACAACTGGAATTTAAGTGTAATCTGCCCAATCCACATGAAAGGCGACCCCCTCAACACGTTTCTTCTCGCACTTCAGATATCAGCTGTTTTAAATTTAAAATGGGGCATAAATACTTACGTAAGTTCTTACAGCAATTTTCTCCCGATCTTAAGATCTTCATTAAGTTTCCGCTTTTTCTTGTAGAATTATTTTCATATGAGGTTTATTATTTTCGTACGACCGTTTCCTTACAGAAGTTAAAATAAACGGCTGATTTCCAAAACGTCAATTGCTTTGCATCCATATAAAGGTTAATGTTTCATAACGTATCCGAAGAGTTAACGAAACGCAGTGCATCAGAAACTAAATTGGTGCTTCGTTTGTATTTGGTTACCATTGGTGTTTTAAATATGGAAAATTCCGAAAGGATTATCATTGCTATATTAAATATTCAAAATATGCAATGTGTATGGATACAAAATTTCGCAACTCTGCATATACAAACATTTTAAATACCGCAGTAGAACAATATACGGACATTGTATTGGTGCGTTTTGGGAGTCAGCCAAACTAAAAAAAATAAGCAACGCCAAATGTAATGGTGCAAATAAAAGAACTTTATATCTAATTACCACATTGGCTAAAATTCATCGCATATTAATGTACTATTTACTATGACAGCTCATTTAAAATAATTTTTACATACATACACTAGTTATAAAAATGACTCAGTTAATTTCATAGCTCGGTTCACGTTCAAATGTTATTATTACTAACAAATTAAATGCTTCGTAACTAAGTATAAAAACTAATTATGTATTTAGATAAGCTCTGAGTTTCCCTGTTTGCCTTCTCCCATCGCTTAAAGTTTATCCGGCTTCTCACTACTCGACGTAAACGCCTGATTTTGATAGCCAGCTGCCCTATTGAAGTTGCCCAACACCATCGAGATGCCTGAAGGTGAATGTTGAATGCCGTTACCTTTAACGGTTTTAGGTAAAGTACCATTCGCCGACTTTTCTATGCTGAAACTACTCGCGTTCGGCGTTGTTGTTGGTAAATAATAGGATGCATTATTAATACGCCTGTAGAGCAAAGTGCGCAGCTTATAAATGGTAAAGAGCACCATGTAAATGAAGCAGGTGAACAGCAGCACACCAATCACTACGAGGGTAGCGCTTATCGGTTCCCGCCAATCGATCACGTGATAAATGTACGGCTTCCCTCTCCTAGATTGTGTAAGTTCAGTGAGAAAAATACATATTTTGACTAAGGGCCAAATTCACAGTGCGTAGTTAACTCAGAATCGGCAGTTAACTACGGATTTTGGTACTTAAAATCTGTAGTTAACTGCCGATTCTGAGTTTACTACGCACTGTGAATTTGGCCCTAAATATATAAAATGTTTTGATTCGCTTATTCACCTGTTCTTGCCGCCACACTTCTGATATATTACGGAGAAAATCGCAAAAATAAGACCAAATGTTACTGGTAGAAACATGTGGAGTAGCCGGAGCGGATGCGCCACAATCAGCAAATCAATGAACATGAATATTGAATTGAAAGCATGTGTCAGCACGTTGGTTGCATTCAAGGAACTCTCAGCCGCTGCAAATTTTAATTAGAAAACGAAAATTTGGGACAGTTTAATCACATTGATATACTAAATTTCAAATGATCAACAAAACCTAACAAATTAAAATTTGTTTCCGCAATAGAGTAACCATTTTCGCTAAGCAAAGTCATAGTCCAGTTGTGTTATATTTTCACTCAAAGGTTAATATGAGTTTTATATGAGTCTCTACATCACGAAGAAATAGAATTTTTGATTTTTTTATGTAAATGGAGAGACCACGAAAATTTTGTTGTTTGCATCCCAACCCCTATTTTTTCCTGAGGCGTCTGTAAATACTATATACGAGATATTTGGCCTTTTAAAATAAATATCTTTTCCTCAAACATCAAAGCTCGAACTGTTTGAAATTTTATAGTCGCAGTACCAAGACTCCTAAAATTTAGTGTAATAAAACAACACTTCACACACAACTACATATCGCACACCTAGATCTAAAGTTAGGGATGCAACGTCACTCGTAAAAACATCGATATCACGAAATTTGGCCGCGTTGCGATAAGGAACTTCAAAAACATGGGAGTAGCTTGGTAGGGGAAGGGGCAGGGCTATAGCCGCCATCCTTACTTCCAATTTGTCCCTACATATATATATATATATAAACAAATAATAACCTGAAATACTAGCTTAATATTTTCGACCCACAGCCCCCCAGCCATAAATTTCCATTCTGGGTACGCCTATATTCAAAAACATCAATTTTACCTTTGAGCCTTTGGGCCTTGTCAATGATCTTGATTTCTTAAATATATATGGTTGTTTTGGACAAATGAAATAACTTAATCTGTGCGTAAAATTAAATACATTAGTAATATACATATACATCGCACGTTTAGTAGTATATAGATGTAAGTCAAAATTTTAATTTTTTGAGAAAACGCAAACAAAGTTGTATCATTTTAAAAAGTTTAATTCAACAGCAAATTACGATGACACCGAAAGAGTCACGTCAATTTTGAATTTAGGAAAATAAATTACAATTATTAAATTAGTAGATTGTTGTAGAAATATTCTTATTAATTAGAAGAAGACGCTTAATTTTGGCCTTACATTTTTCATTCAGAGTTAATTCACTTTATTATTAAAAATTTATTCCGCCAAAAGTAATTTCATACGGTGTATTTCTAAATATTACATTTTATTTTAAAAAATAATTTGCATTTTTATGAAACAATCAATGATGGAAAAATATTTTTTAAATACTCCTGCTTAAAATAGTTATTAGTTATTATTCGATCATACTCAACAAAGCAACGACTAAATATAAATAGAGATGGAAAATATGAGTTAAATTAACTTATTAATTACCCAAACTTAATTATTAATTAAAAGTAAATTCGTAACATAAGCATTTTATGTGGTATTTAATCAGAGCATAACTTAAACCACAATTCAAGTTGGGATAGGTGAAAAATTATAAATTTTTTAAATAGAGTTAAAACAAAGGTAAATCTTTACAGAAGACAAAAAACTTATAATATAGAATTATAAAAGTTTTCGTAGAAAGAAAGAATTAATCCTTTTGACAGAAGATCTCTTAAATCTTTTTTTTATTTTCACTCAACACCTGCTTTTCTGGATATGCTGGTTCAAGCGCTATTGTCGTAATGAGTTTCATTTTTTTCCTTTTGTTTCGTGCATTAACTGCTTTGAAATTTTCCTCTTTGTATGATGTTTTATAAAAAAATGTAGAACCATGTTGCTTAGTCATTTTTAACATTTTTATTTCATTCCAATTTAAATTATTTTCTTTTTAATATTTTTATTGAGCTTTGTACCACGATTGTTTATTAGGAAAAATTGAAAAAGCAACAAAGTCTAAGCGGTAGATGTTATAGCACTATTTCGGAGATCACCACATCTCCTCATCAGACTTCTTTTTCTAGACTTCACCAGGGAAGAAAAAGAAGTCTGATGAGGAGATGTGGTGATCTCCGAAATAGTGCTATAACTTCTACCGCTTAGACTTTGTTGCTTTTTCAATTTTTCCTAATAAACAATCGTGGTACAAAGCTCAATAAAAATATTAAAAATAAAATGTTAACAAGCCACAATAACATTGACAAATTAAATTATTTTCATCTGTATTGGTATTCAAATTTTACCCGCATTCCTCTTGTAAAGCTTTTAAGTCATAAAATGATCTGAAACTCAACTCGTGCACTCTTAAAGGTGGGTTAGTTTTTTCCGCATTCTTAATTAAAGCTGCATACTGATCAGGGTATATGAGGCTATGCACACTATCGGCTTCATTTTGCGTATGGCCTCTGATTAAGAACTTATGTGTAATACTTTTTATTTTTAATGTTTGTACAGCAAATAAATACAAAGAGGCTATATACTTGTTCTTATTTTGCCCGCAGCAATTATCGGAGTAAAATATCAAATAAAGCCATACACATGAACCTATCTCAACAGCCCTTCGTTTTGCATCACACTCTGACCAAAAATAACAATGTACATTATCGTATGCCGCTTTGGATTATTTCTAGTCAATTCTGTCACGGTAAAGTTGTAGCAATTTAGTTTTGATTTGTAATAAAATGAAGAAGTATATCCCCTAGGACATTGCAGAACAGCCTCTAAATCATACATAGCCACTTTAAAGATATTGTTTAAAATAATCTATATTCCTCCTCACTTTTAATAATAAAGTGATTCAAGTTTAAATCATAAGCATCACAATACAAAATAATTTCTAAGAAAGGGAATTAAATAGAAAATGTTTTATATTAAACTTCAAAGATTTTTCTAGTATAGTGAGCCATGTCCAAAATAAGCCCCTTTATGATTAAACAATAACAAAGAATATATTTCTCTGTTAGTGAAATACAGATTTATTTTGTATTGATTCACTTTAATTTTAAAAATCGAAGCCTTTTTATTGAATAGAGCTGGTGGAACATCGAATTTGATCACTTCATTTGTATCAGCTTAGCGTCGCGTGTTTATAGAAAGCAGATGCAAATACATCTATTTCCGCCATTTTTGTCTTATCGAGTATTCTATAAGACTGAGCATGATCTCATCAGCAGGTTATTTTAATATATCATAAAATCTCAAAAAATTAAAATTTTGAGTTACATCTGTATATTATTAAACGAGCGACATATCGTTACCTTAGCTCTAACTCATTTTCTTTTGAAACTCTCACTAACGCTTTAAAAGAATACAAAAACAACTACTACACCAATACCTTAGTCTCAGCGTTTATTAAAACCCAGGATTTTGAAGAAATTCTCAACTTAAGAACTTTAGTTTTTATAAAGTTTTGTAATATATTAAGGTACCGATATGTAAATATACAGGCAGTTAGTTACCATTATATAGCACACTCCAATAAATAACGGTTATCACTATTGACAGGACTAGAGACACTATGTGCATGCCCCAGTAAATAACAAATGGACTAGTCAACGACTCCATATTCAGAAGTTTATCTGTAAAAGAAAATCGTTATTGGTTTTTAGATGTTTTTGTAAATATGTATGTATGAATTAACTTTTATATGTTTATTAGACTGCGCCTTAGTTGTATGGAGAGACTTTTTATAAGCTTTTATTTAAATTGGTCATCCCGCGCAAATCGCGGAAATTTATAAATATATAAAAAATAAATATATGCCATGCTACAGCGGAAATGGACGACACGCCATTTCTTTAAATAAAATTAACTGCTGTTATATGTACATATGTATGTTTATACAAAACGTAAGCAAACAACATTTTGCTTGCCAAGTCTTCTGTTCTCTTTCATTGCAAGTTGAATTATTTTAATATCTATTGCAAAATTTTTTAAATAAAATAAAATAACACTTTTTAATATACAACGCTTTTATAAATGGACTAAAAATATGAAAATAAAACAATGTAAAAAAAATATTTTTTAAAAACAAGCTTTTATTTAACCTGTACAATCAAAGGAATAAAATGAAGTA